AGCAGCAGAAGCAGCAGAAGCAGCAGAAGCAGCAGAGGAGGAGGAGGAGGAGGAGGAGGAGGAGATTGGATTTATACCCCGCCCTTCACTTGGAGTCTCAGAGCGGCTTACAAAGTCCTTTCCCTTCCCCTCCCCACAACAGACACCCTGTGAGGTGGGTGGGGCTGAGAGAACTCTGACACAAACTGCTCTTTTTCAAGGACAGCTGTAGCAGAGCTTGTGACCCAAGGTCACATCAGCAGGTGCAAGTGGAGGAGTGGGGAATCAAACCCGGTTCTCCCAGATTAGAGTTCGCACACTTAACCACTACACCAAACTGGTTCTCTGTAACTGTAATTAAAACAGTTACAGTAAGAAGCTTAACTATCCGAGATACATCTTATCTCTTTCACTCACTCTCCATCTCCTTCCCTCTTCCCTCTTTTCTTCCCTCTTTTCCTTGGCCCCTAAGTACATTTGCCTGGAACTCTGCCATCTGCTCAGTAACTTCAGGGGTTTTGTCCGCTAGCAAGAATTCAATACTTCTACTGGTCGCAGCCTTAGAGAGTTGAAGGAGAGGGCTAATCAAGTGTAAACGTAGCTAAGTAAACAGTGGGCAGTTTAAGAGGATACGCTGAACAGAGTTAGGTTCTTTGCAGAGACATCTGCAGAGTCTTGCCTCATAGATGATGCCCTTGTATCTGCCTGTGACCATGACCGAGGGAAATATATTGAATCTAGCCAGCATACATGCTCTGTGTTGAGAAGGGATTGTTAAGTTTAAAAAGTACTGAGCCATAGAGTTTTGTGGGAAAGCAAGACCCAGGAAACAGGGGGAACAAGTCCCCTCTGCTCCAGCTTTTATTAATTGGAAGTTCTCCTTTGGATTATTTGGAATATATAGGATTCATTGGAATTAACCAGGGAAGTCAATACTTAAAGAATTAATTTTCTCCCTTATGAATTGGGACCATTTAGAAACATACGAATCAGCAGTTAGAAAAGCGATAAGACTATTTGGAGGAGGTTGGAAATAAATACCATGTTTCCCCGAAAATAAGACACTGTCTTATATTTATTTCTTCTCAAGAAGACACACTAGGGCTTATACCACAAATGCATAGAAATCCTGCTAGGGCTTATTTTTTGGGTGGGTCTTATTTTCGGGGAAACAGGGTATGTAGCCAGTATTTGATGGCAGCAGTCCAAGCTTTAGATTCTATGGTATAGAGACTCAACTCAGTGCACAAAGTAGAATAATTAACCGAGTTGAGAATGCCAAGAATACGATGCAGAAAGATTGCATTAACTTGTTCCACCTTTATATTAAAAGTCCTGAATCCACACGGGAACCCCATACAGTAACTGGGAAATCACTGTAGCCTGAAAAATCCGTAGGGCAGCCGGAACAAATTGGTTACCTTTTTGATAGTGAAAATGGGCTAAAGCAGCCATCTTGTTCTTAGCCAAGCTAAGAGAATGTTCCCGATGCATGGACCATTTTAGATTATAATGAAAGAGAATACCCAAGTATCTAAAAGATTTAACCTGTTCAATTTCTCTTCCATCGATCTTCCAGACAGAACGCCTCCATGATTTAGAGAATACCAAAATTTTAGTCCTATCAAAATTAATAAATAAGAAGTTCTGGTTACAGAATGAAATAAATGCTGATAGGGAGCGCTTTAATCCTATTTTAGTCAAGGAAAGAATTGCTTGAACTATTTGCAAAGAGCTACAGCTTTAAATCAGAATTGTCAAACAGTCACTTTGCCTTCAGCGCGATGATCTCTGCCGTCCTTGTTTGGTGAGTCCAGGAACTTTCGTTTCTGTGTTATTTTAGTTGGGTCGAAAATAGACATGAGACTGATTGCTTGGAGGCGTGGTGAAGCCCCGCCCCCTTCTTTACCCCGCCCTCTGCTTCGATCCTCATTCCGTTTGGGAATGAGGATGAAGCAGGAGGGTAAGTAGCCGGGCCTTCTGACACACTTCCGGTGATGTCAGGGGGTGTGGCCTTCTGTCACTTCCGGTGATGTCAGGGGGCGTGGCATATGCAAATAAGTTATGCTAATGAGTTATGCTAATGAGCTCCGGCAGCTCTTTTTCTACAACAAGACCCCTGGAAACAATTCTCTGGCTCTTGCTTCGTCCAGGATCCTCTTCCTTGTTTTTAGGTCAGGAAGGACTGCCAGGACGTCTCTGGGAAAGAATTGCTGCATCGTCCACATATAATAAAATAGGAACTGGGGCTGAGTTTAATTTGGGAGCATGTCCATCAATTTTAGCCAAATAGGAAGGGAGATCTGAAAGGAACAAATTAAATAGAGAGGGGGCTAAAACGCAACCCTGCTTTACACCCTTGGTCACAGGAACTTTTTGTGTTAAGGAGCCTCTGTCATCAAATCTAACCTGACACGTATTAGAGAGATGAAATTTACGCAACAAAAACAAAAGGCGTCAGTCAAGGTCCCATTTGTGTAATTTTCCCCACAGAATCTATCTATCGACTGAGTCAAAGGCTCTACAGAGATCAATAAATGCAACGTATAACTTGCCTCTAGGGTGCTGGAGATATTTTTCAGCTAAGAAAGATAAT